CTAGTACCTTATGTAAATAAGTGCTTGATTACATACATGTACATATGCTGAAGTATAATTTTTTTTTTATTAGAAAGCACACACCTGTCTTTGATTTTTGATTACATATTCTCAGATAACAATAAAATCTCAGTTCATGGTCTGGAGGTCTAATTTTTCATTGAAATAAAATAAACTGAATCTTTATATGTTAAAAATAACTTAATGAGAAGGAAGAGAAATAGTTACATGATAAGGGGAAAAAATCAGTATTGTTAGGAAAACTTTGAATGAAAAAGTCGTATGGACCAGGATATGTTTATGCAGAAATCGTATGGACCAGGATATGTTTAAAATGAGGATGATTCCTGTTGACACGAATACCTTAGGACTTAATTAGAGATGAGTTCATTGTTCAAACTCCACTTAACCAATTTTGAAAAGCATATTTTTGCACAAAAGAAAACCAGTGGGATATATACATGTAATTTTAAGATAAATCGTGAAAATAACTGATAATGACCAATCTCATAAACCAGTAAACAAAACAAATCGTGAACAGGAAAAAAAACACGGACCCCTGCAGGAAACACTGGAGGTTGAACTAACATGTTGAGCCTTTATCTTTAGAATAATTCAAGACAAAATTGACTAAAAAGACTTAATTTTATACTGAAAAATTCAATTAAGTGACGTCCGATTATTTTCATGAACTTAAATTACTCTGTTCGTCATGATGCTTTATATATAGTTTTAAGTTAAGTTTCTGGATTCTTTCAGCTTTCTTTATTCTACAGAAAAAGGAAGTTTAACTTGAGCATGCCAAGTAGCATAAAAAAAATACCAGGAGTATAGTGAAATATTATGTACTCAAAATAACCTAGTTTATCCAGAGAAGATAAACTCTATTATTATACCTCATAAAAATAATCATTAGTGAAATACAATCTGAATGGCCGAGACGGTCACGTGACCGTCGTGTTTGCCCTGCAACAAAACTTCGTGTTTCACGATTGTGACGTCATAATGCGGCTACTGAGATGATTACTACTGTTTGTATCGTTGATTGATTGTGTTGATTCAAACATGTAAAATGTTAATATTTGGATTTTTTTTTTCTTGTGTTGGGTTTTAATGTAACTGGTGTGTAAATTACACTAGTACTGACTTTTCACGAAGGAATGATTTTTTAAGAAGCACTACTATTGGTGTAACTTACATCTGTTTCATATTGTTCAATGTTTACTTTATTCATTGGATTCTCTGTATATTTCCTGCACTGTGCTTACTAATTGTAATTCGGTATAATAAACAATTTATTGCATGAATGTTCGGGAGACTTGAACATTTCTTCGCCCATGAAAAATCATATTCCCCTCGGGCGTTGCCCTCGGGGTATATGATTTTTCATGGGCGAAGAAATCTTCATGTCTCCCTCACTATCATGCAATAAATGTATATTATTTGACACCAACTCTCCCCAGAACATAGAGGTGTATCTAGAGTAAATCTTATTTCTGTGCATTTTATTAAAAAATAAAATTTGATCTGCAAAACAAATGCAACAATAATAACAAAAAGTATTGGTAAAATATACAAAATATATTCGATTATAAGTTATGTAAATTTCATCTCATCGGGTTATTTTGGAACTAAATATTTTTTCTTCCATGAAACTCACTAACCGACATTCACATACCAAAAAAAAAGTTATTTTACTTTTGTGATGGTTGACAAAAAAGAAGCTATGGAAATGTCAGGGAAAATGCATAATGAAGAAAAGTTTTTAAAAAGCAAAGAAATTTTTAAGATATAAAGCATTTCTAAAAATTTCAATGTTTTTCACCATTTTTTTTTTCACAGAGATATTAAGGGAAGTTGACAATATCGTTGGTTTTCGCTGTATAAATGAGATGAAGGAACTACATCGTTTTCTATATGTGTCACGCAGTATTCTTATCATTGTCTTATTCTGTAGCTAACATGATAATAATCTCCAGTATTACAATTCAACAAAAGAATATACTCATAGATATACAATATATGCACAAAATTATTCAGGAATCTCAATAATTTTCTTTACTGTAAGTATCATGAATTGACAAAATATTTTACGACATAAAAAAGGGAAATTACTCTTACAACGTTATTCACTTTCGTAAGGTCTTTTTTTCTTTTGACAACAACATATAGTTTAATATTAAAAATCATGAAACCAAGTCCATCTGATTTGGATGGAACAATAATGGCTCAGCAATGTTAATTAGAAATAAACATTTGATTTTTTTTTATTCTTTAACATTTACAAATGTCTGAGGAAATGAATGAAAAGTGCATAAAAATTTGTTGAACACAGATATAGAATTTCGTCTTTATTCATGATTTACCCAAGACAGCGAATTATCTTTTATGTAACTATTTAATTCATAATAACATGAAAGTTTCAAATATTACGTGAAATACTTAAATGCACATATCTGTGTGTCTGGCAAGGAATTTATCTAAACAAAAAAGTGGTGAGAGTTTTCTTAAGAGTTATAGAAAATCTTAAACCTAATGACTTACAGAATACAACCATATACGTAATGCATGTAAATGTTTGTATGAAGTGTTGGTTTTTTATGAAGTGTGGTTATTTTTCATGTATTACAGAGATTAATATTTACACACATTTGCTGAAGTAGAAAATCATTTTTATTAGAAACCATACTTCATTCTTTGATTCTAGTTGCATATACTCAGATCACAAAACAATTCTCAATTTATGAACTGGGAGTCTAATGCTTCATCTAATTAAAATAAACTGAAACTTTATAGGTCAAATATAAGTTCAGTGAGAAGGAAGAGAAAGAATTCTATCATAAGGAAAAATCTCAGTATTGTTAGGAAAACATTTAAATGTAGAAGTCGTATGGACCAGGATATGTTTATGCTGAGGATGGATCCTGTTGACACGTATACCTGAGGACGCAATTAGAGATGAGTTCATTGTTCAAAGTCCCCTCAAACAATTTGAAAAAAAACATATTTTGCACAATTGGAAACTAGTGGGATATAAAATGTTACGGTAAATCGTGAATCGTGGTTACACCCGTCGTGAACACTCTGTATTAACCAGGTATAGAGAGAACTCCGTAGTCAAATTCAGTATAAAAACAATGACATAAAAATGGTTTCAAACATAAGACAAAATAAAACCCAACAGTAGGCTGACATTATAGGGGGTTGTTGAAATCATTTTAAAATCTACTTATTCGTCAGAAGCTTGCCTCTTTTTTATAACTTGATCGAACTCAGAGCATGTTTTTGTGTATATTATCAGTTAAGAGGTGTAGAGACCATATGCAGGTGGTATTTTACTACATAAATAAGGGAAATTGAGATGGGAAGGTTAAGTGATCTCGTTTGTCATACATACAATTAAGTATAAGTTAACGATTATTGTCTATAGTCAGTATAAATCCTAAAAATATGAAACAGATGTGGCAGATCTAGACTCTGTAGTGTCTTTAATTTCGAGTTCACTGGGATATATTAAGTCGACATATGAATGAAAATAACAAAAAACAAAAAAAAAAAAAAAAAAAAAAAAAAAAAAAAAAACAAAAAAAAAAAAAAAAACAAAAAAAAAAAAACAAAAAAAAAAAAAAAAAACAAAAACAAAAACAAAACAACAACAAAAAAAAAAAAAAAAAAAAAAAAAATTATAAAACGTTGTCGTTATATCTAATATCGAACTGAAGGTCATTGAAAAAGTTTTCCTTTTTTATGTAGTAGTTTTTGAATAGATTATGCTTTATAGAAATATAAAACAGGTCGACTAATAAAGGGGCACAATGAGTGCCAATCGAAATTCCAACAGATTGTGGGAAGATCTGGTCTTCATAGATATTGTCAATATCAAGGAACTCAAGCATCTTTGTAATATTAATTTTTAAGTACATTTTATAATGAAAGAAAAGAATGGATTAACAATTTAATGGTCAATAATTCATGATTATTTCTGCTAAGGCAAAAAAAAAAAAAAAAAAAAAAAAAAAAAAACTAATTTTTAAATTTGATTTCAATTTTCCTTTAAAGCTATATCTAATTGATGCATTACAAAATTTCTCGATTTAATTCTGAGATGAAGACTAGTGATTTTGACATGAAGACTATGGATTTGAGATTGGTTCAGAGGTTAAAACTTATTAATAAACAGAACTGAAAGGAATTCTACTAAATCAAATCATTTGAATAAATTCCTTGTCACACTTGTATTTTAAACAGTTTATCACCATTTCATCAAAATTATCAGATATAAAACGAAAGCTAGTACAGTTTTTAAAACGTATGTTCACAAGGAAAAAAATCATTTCCGTTAATTACAAGATAACCAGAAGAAAATCACTTTCCTGTTCTAAATTTTGTGCGTTGTTGATTTTCCAGCTTATGTACATGAACAGTTGCGGTTGATACATGTGGCAAAATTTGCGCCTCCTCTTTAATTTTGTGACTTGTCAGATGCCGTTGAAAGTCTTGTTTATAATAAATTTATATGTACTCCTAGCAGAATTATTGTATTTCATGAGTTTGTAAATGCGTTTTATTGTATTCATGGTATATTTAAACTTTTTAAAAGTTTGAGTCCTATCCCGGAACCCCCTCCAATTTCAAACCCCATCCTTTTAATTTGCCCGATTGGAAACATAAATAAAAGATTGAAGTGTATAAATGATTTACTTCTACTGGGGATAATTTCACCATTATTTTTTCAAAACATAACTGACAAAAACTTTCCTTCACCACGTAACGAAGAAGTACAGTTGCACACAGAGAGAGAGAGAGAGAGAGAGAGAGAGAGAGAGAGAGAGAGAGAGAATTTTTTTAAATTAAAATTTTCAGACGATAGTTTGTTTACAGCTTATTTCCCACATTCTGAAAATGTATATGGCGCTGATCTAAGAAGTCTTAATTAGATTGCTTCCTCCACAGCAGGAATTCAATATTGCGTGCGCAGTTTCGGCTGATCATTCAATACTTCCGCACGCTGGTGATGGTTATTGCGTATTGAACAATTCCAATATGTCTTCGGAGGATAAAAGAGGGCGTAAGTATGCACATATTATTTTTTAATATTGTATATTTTTGGGATTTTAACTCTCTGTATTTTATTGTTCCTTATATAACTTTTTGTCTGTATCAAAATCTAAGATGTGAACAAAACCTGAGTATTATAATTATACACACGTGGTTTCGATGAACCCTGTAATTCACTGAACATTAAAAAAATGGTTTTCGGCATGCAAAATTATTGTCATGACGGCAAAATTTCACTTTATTTTCCGTTGGCATTTATCTTAAGACTTCACAAGTGCATTTCAACAAACCATGTCTTATGTATGACACATTTTCTGCCATGATAACTAGAGTATTGTAGAATGTTCTGGGAATATTGATTAACCCCATACTATACTGATGAATGAAATAATATCGAGGTCATCGTCGAGATGGATCGATAAATCGAGCTTATTTGAATTATCGTTCCAACCTACAATAATGTCGTTTATTAATCATTGAATAATAAATTCATATGAGTAAACGACAATAAAAGGGTGACATTCTATAGATGGACAATGAAATTAACATGTCAGATAAACAACTTTGTTATAAAAATCACCGATAAATCTTTGTCGTGGTCAAGGTGCGAAAATTACCTAATGGGATTTCCTCTGTTTAACGCCAATTGATAATTTGATGAATTCAAAATGGTTCTCGTGGAATGTTAGATATTTTGCTAAACAAATAAAGGGTTAGAAAGCTTTCATAAAAATTATCACAAATCGCAGCAAGAATAACTAAGTAACAAAACAGTAATTAAAATGAATGTGAACATTTAAAATCTTGTACTTTTTCATCACGACAAATGTCGTTTACTAATTATTGAATTAGAAATTCATATAATAAGGACATGACAGTTATGTACATACATGTGAAATGATTGTGTATTCAAATACAGCAACAGTCACACATTTTTGATTGCAATTATATTGGGATAATAGGATCTCGAATATTAAATGTTATGTTAAAATACAGTTTTTGAGAAGAAAATATGCATAGCTTTAACAAAGATATCTTTTTTGCAGCCAGAAATGAATTAAATATCACAGTAATGATAGATCCTGGTGCTGTACTCGTGTAAGCACTTAGACGAACACATTTAATTATGAAAAAAGACATTTATATCATCGTGCCTTTTTTTTTTTTTTTCTCTAAATTATGGCTATCCATCGTCAATTTTTTTCAGTAATTTATTGTGGACAGCAGAAATTCTAGTACTATAATATCATCAAAATAAAAAAAAAGGTTTCTGTCGAGGCCTATTGATATGCATTTAGAAAATGAATCCAAAGGCTGATGACCTGGACGTAAGTTTTTCTCTGAACAGCCACTTGTTCAAGATTTACTGACAATTGTATATCAAGGATACGATTCACATGAATTATGCCTTTTTAAAATCAATCCTTGCCTAGTGATCCTTGTATGCCGACTCTTGGGTGTATCAGCCGAAAAATATAATACAGTGATCACTGCTGGAATTTTATGGCTTCGTTTTAGAAACTTTTCTCAGACACTTTGAAACCTAGGTTTAACAAACTGTGTCAGTAAATGGAATTAGATTGTGACAAGATCAAAATAGGCCAAAACATAAATATATTTAATTGATCAGGAATTCCTTTCATAGTTGTAAATCATTTTAGAATGAATTGATATCTTGGGTCATTTAACCTTATTTGATGCATCGTAAGTCCTTGTCAAGTATCTACTAAAAATTCGTAACGATGATATACTTTTACTTTCTTTATTTTTCTTAATTGTCAACAGTTTTCTGCTGAACATCTTAACTACAATTAGGCTTTAGGTTCATCAAACCCTAAAAGTTCGTTCATTTGTTACCCAGCGCTATGTCAACACAGCAGTAGATTACGGTCACCTACCGGTACTTTATGAATTTCTTGTCGGTCGACGTTTAGAGCTCTATATCTATTGCAAACTATTCTGCTTAAAATTCCCAGCCTTGTAAGTTGATTTATTCAAAAAAATAAAATATATCAAAGTGACCTTCTTTTGGATTTTGTGACTGTAAGACGTTACACTCTCAATTTTTTTTACCAAACTTTGCAGATAATATGAGCCCTAAAATCCCCTAAAATTGTTCTTTGATACATCTTTTAATATGAAAGACTGACAGCTAAAAAATACTATGATCCCAGTTCATGAATTTGTGACCACATGAAATCAAAAGTCAGGAATTGCAAGTACCTGCGTTTACAAAGACTTGTAAGTTGAGGTAACTTGGAATAAGTTTTAGTATAACCCAAAAGTAGGCAATTTTAATAGCTTTATTTGTTTTTTTTTTATCTGGTATAATTAATAAGTAAGATTCCTTTTATGCTTATTATGAGGTATATAGGAACAAAGAACTCTGCCAACTGACGAACGTTAAAGTTTCTAAACCTATAGGACTCTTGTTGGAGGACTATAAGAGTTTTATGGTAATTTTGCAACATCGATAAAAATTATATTTTTTCGTGATTAGCTCCCCCTTCGTACGACGAAGTAACCAGTCCTAGTTCCCAGCCTTTGTTTTCACAAGAGAACCAGTATAACCAGTTTCAACCAAAAGGTGGCGTTCAGGGACAGTATCCTGGTTACCAATATCCACCAAAGGGTAGTTCTCCTGGTCCTTATCCATATCAACACGTGCCGGGTGCGCCACCAGTATTAACTCACAATGTTGTGGTAAGACTTTATTTAAAAAAAAAATCAGAAATCAAAACTGTATGATGATATACCAGTATCTATACATGCATCTTTGATTCCTTATCAGGTCAATCAGCCTGGTTCTGCTACCATGGTGACATCACGGCCAGTCAGACAGGACTGGACAGTGCCGGCTATTCTGTCTTGTTTGTGCTGTTTTTGGCCAACAGGAATTTTTGCTATATTTGCTGCTTGTAAGGTAATTGATAATATACTGTGATGTTTAATGTTTTAGGTCCTTATGTAGGAAGCACCCTTTTATATAATTGAAATGTTATCAGTCAATGAAAACCTAGGAGATATTTGTGTAATTGTACAATATCAATGTAGTTAACCAGGGTTTCTTTGGCGGGTACCTGCAAAGTGCAAAACTAAATCGAAACGAAATGAAACGAATTTAATACGAAACCTAACGAAATAAAACGAGACGAAACCAAATGAAATGAAACGAAACTGAAATTGAAACCAAATGAAACAGAATAGATGATAAACGACCTTCAAGTTTTATATATTCGTATTGCTATCTAGCACTATAAAGTTACATCAATCTTGGAAGCAACTCTGGGTTCACATTATTGTTTTTTTTTCTTAAATTCTCTCTATCAGTTAACTTGCCAAAACTACAACACAATTAATAAATGAATTATCAAGTGTATATTCTATAGGTATTCATTCTACAATATATTTTTTTCTATTTACAGTTTACATTTCATGGGTCGTAAGGGACTTTTTAATGTATTTAAAGAATCGAGAGATAAAAATTATAATTTTATTCTATATTTTTAAGACGAGTCATTTATTTTGGATTTTTTTCTCTTTAAAGTACAAAGCGCATTTAATGCATGAATGTAGTTATGGGCATGAGGGAGGAGAATTACTGACAACATACATGAAAAATCTTTGTGAAGCAAAAAAAACAAAAACAAAAAAAAAAACAAAACAAAACAAAACAAAACAAAACAAAACAAAACAAAAAAAAAAAAAAAAAAAAAAACAACAAACAAACAAACAAAAAAAAAAACAAAACCCCAAGAAATCAAAAAAAAAAAAAAAACAACAAACAAACAAAAAAAAAAACAACAAAAAACAAAAAAACAAAACAAAACAAAAAAACAAAAAAACAAACAAAACAGAACAAACAACAAATAAACAAACAAACAAAACAAAACAAAACATCCATCTTTCTCTACGAAAGAAAGTTGTTTAAAAAAACATTTACATGTACAGGATTTGACTATACTGCAACGATACTATGTATGCATTAAACGTGTTAAGTTTTTCACAATAATATATCGCATATCTACGTATTAGTATTAGAATAAAACCAATGGCTGCATTCCAAAGGATAAAAGTGCATTTTTTATTATTAACTGTATTGGAATGGATACATCCTTCAGCAGACTTTAATACATGTAGTATTTTGACAAATAATAATACGTGCAATGCGTTGACTTATCAACAATGTAGACCAGGGTTTGGTTAAATGCTTTGTCGTACCTATGCAGTCAGTAATTTTAACTGACTCTCCTTCATTACTTTGAGCATTCCTTTTACAGAAGAGTAAAACATGTATAATACTTTAAGCTTACTTGTTCTCGTTTGGTTTCGTTCGTTAGGTTTAGATTTTTGTTTCGTTAAGAAAGGTTCGGTAAGAGCATAAAATTGGCCTCGTGAAAATCGCACAGAAGTTCTTTTACTTAATTTTTCATCTGCTTTATACTGTTTTGTTTTTTTTTATGTTAGCATATTTTAATTTATAGTGAACACTGAGATCAAAAAGAAATATTCAGATTTCTTTTTAACGTCAGTGTTTACTTTTTATTAAAGTATGAAGTTAGATTCAAAACATCCATTGCAAATTCATATTACAAATGTAACGTAATTATCTGTAAACCTATATTAAAATTAATTAAATCACATTACATGACGGTTTTATATTTTCTCTAGATTGACAGGACTAGACATATGTGCATGTACATTTGTAGACCGCTCGTCTTTCACCTGAATTTTATTTTATTTTTGAAGGCGACTTTATATTCGACAAAATCATCATATGTTTTAAGCTGCGGCTCAGGAAATCGCAACTTACATAAATTAGAATTTACGTTTCTTGATTCACGATAAACTGAGAGAAAGGGAACTCAACTTCATTCTGACGGTTAGAAGTTTATAAAATTAACGTACATGTATAAAAATGTCATAGATTTTCTAATATGTGTCTTTACGTTATACAGGCTAACGCTGCAGCAGTAGAGGGAGATGAGGTGGAAGCGCAAGCGCAGTCAAGACGCGCACGTAGTCTTGTCGTAACTTCCGTTGTTATAGGAATTTTCATCATGATACTTTCTGCAATTTTGCGAACAATTGTTTATTCTAATTACTCGCGTCATTGAAAAGTATTGGGCAGTTTTTAGTCATTAAAGACTTTATCAACAAGTACATAGTGGAATTCGATGAATTTAGATGAATTTGTTTTACAACTGGACTGTAAAATTATCTATTGTGAATTTATATTCAGAAGATTGTTTTTTCTGTTTCATATGAAACTGTTATCAAGATGCTTATACTATTATATGTCTGTGTGAATTATTCACACAAAAGATTACTTTTTTATGTACATCTGAATACCTATATCTAGTCTGTAATGTTCCTTATCCTCAAACATTATACTGTTAATTTAATATCTTATCATTGTATGTGTTCATTCTATTTAAACAAGCCATTCAATATGTTCTATAACTTCGAATACTATGCATTGCTAGATCATTTGTTTTTGTACATGTATTAAAATTGTTGTCCCTGAAAATATACTCTTTGTAATATATCTGAATTCGCTGACTTTGATAAAATAGTACATTTCATTTCTTTTTATGTAATTGATAAAAGATCATGGTTAACATGCATATATTCACTTTCAAAAAAAAAAAGTAAATATCTCATCTTCTTCCCTGTCTGTGTTCAAAAAAATAATTTTAATATGTTCTTTCTAGTTTCTTGAATTCGTAACTCGAAATATTAGATGCAGTTATACTTCAATTATCTTTATAACATGTTTTTGTAAATGCCGTACCCTTTTTTCTCCTTGTTAAGGTCTTCCGTCACAACGGAAGACCTTCTACTGATTCTGATGGTTAAGATTATTATTCTTTTTTTTTTTTTTCTTCTCCTTTCTAGACGCCAACTTTGAGGCCTCATATCTCGCTCATTTCTCAACGGATTTTGCTCAAATTTGCAGGGATTGTAGACGTTACAAAACTCTATCAGAATGCTGTCAAACATATCAAAAATCCACTTCCGCTTTTGAGTTATCTCCCTTTAAATGAAAAAAATTTAGGACTCTTCATTTCCGGATAAAGGCTCCGAGACTACAAAAGCTGGAGTAGAAATTTTACCGAATTTAAATAATAGAAGCATTGAAGTTGTGCACATCTATTTTTGTTTTTTGATTTCTGTGTTCAAAATGGCGCTTGATAGGGGTCAAAAATTAGAACGACTAAAAGCGCGAAAATTTACACATATTTTCCTATGTATCTTTTAAACTAAAAATATTTTGTTAAGACATGTTGAATAAAAGTTGTGCACAATTTTAAGGTCTTTCATTTGGCACCTCCAAAAAGGGGCTGGTCCCTTAAATTAGGGATCTAGGGTCCTTGAAAGTTTTCGTTTTATAACTCAAAAACGGTAAATATTTCAATATAGCTGTCGCTAAAAAAGTTGTTCTTTAACATATTATTGATCTCGTGAACTTGTTATTTTGTTCGAGTCTTTTTTAATAAATGAGCTAGAAGCTTGACCCATATACAGGTAACTAGTTTCATTAGACAAGTGAAGGTGAAATCCTTATGCGCATAACTGAAATAAACTTGCTATAAATGATAAACCTATCCAAAATAAATACTAATACTACTTTAAAATAAGTTTTTACGTGTTCTGTGGTTTCATTCCAAATTATTGAGTCACACATTTTCAATACGTCTCGGGGTTTGTTTTTGTTTATAATTACGTAACCGGCCATCCCCCGATCACGCGTGACCTAGATCCAGTGATCAGTGGCCATACACTAAACAGGCATTGCCGTTCTAAATCTATTTTGCAAACTCAACTATGTACGGATAATTGTTTTTTTTTAGTCAAATCGGATCTTTCAAATTATTTCATCTTATCTATGTTGGTCATGTTGGTGATATACTTATTAAATTATTGTGGCCGAAATTACAAGAGATCCATTGCGTGTGAACCAGTGACCTGCGTTCGTAAACAAAACATCTTTTCGTCGTTTAATGTTGACACATACACTATATTAAATTTTTAAAAAAAAAGTAAGCAAAAAATAAATCGGTCTTTAACTGCATTTAACTGCGTTTCACATATACCCGGGTTTTGTGTTTGTTTACAATTATGTAACCTAATTATGTAGCCGAGGAAGCAGCTATTAGTGCTTATACACAAAACATTGTCGTTCTATATTCATTTTGCTGACACAATGATTTACGGAAAATTATTTTTTAAATCATACCGGATCATTCAATTAAATCATTTATTCTTATCTTAATTTGATTTAATTTAAATCCAAAACATTTTATTAAGGACGTATAAAGGTCCCCGATTTCATGAATCCTAATCTTTAAACTGCATACATGTATTTAATAAACGATTTATTTCTCAATTATGTGTTATTATGTGTTTAATTTCGGAGATTCATTGCGTGTGGTTAATTCTGCAGATAATTCTAACTTGACACACAAGGTTTGTAGACGAAGAATTCAAAAGAGATATATTTTGAAAACAATAAGACGCATTGCTAAACACTTTTACATTATTTTCTTTTTAAAATGGCTGTCTTTATGATTACACCAACTTTTAACATGCTGTGTGAAAAACTCTGTCGACTATAGTTTTGTAACTCCAGCATATGACAAGTACATGTGCTTTTTATTAAACGTCCAATTTTCCATTAACGCCCACAAAATCTACCTAGCTTAAGATCGATAACATACCCCCCGACAATCATACAAAAATAAAACAATGGCTGCTGATTTGATTGACAGGTCAGCAACCTGCGCTACCTGATACTGTAGTCTGAGTTTGCATGTTTTGAAAGCAATTACACGTACCTGGTCACGCGTCAAACGCTTTCATGTACTGCTTGAAAAGTCGCTTTGTATACACTCTGGTAAAAACTTATATCTTTGTTGGTAATTATGTTTCACAAAATAATTGAGAGAAGAGAATTAAACTTTGAGTTCATTATTTTTATTTTCACTGCTGTTTTGTACACTGTACTTGTACGCGATATGTCGTCCAAGACAACTGTACAGCTTTCCGAAGAAAAAAAAAAAACTGGCGGCTATTCGAGCCCCTTTTCGCCTTCAATGTCCTCTTCAAAACACACCTGTTTACAGAGAAGAGATCATAATATTCAATAAAATATTTCATATTATATGTAATCTGATTTTCTATGTATAAGTATCTGAAAGGCTATATTGTGCTGAATTTTTTAAAATACATGTTTTATGTAATACATATTTTTTAGCATACGATAAAATATCGCCAACACTATAAGCTTAATTATTATATACCGAACTGTTTGTCACTCAGTTTTACTGTTGAATTCACACAATCACGTGACGATGTGATCCGACGTTCCGGATCACCACACTGTGGTTTTCTGAATCCATATCACCCCTCTCTGAAACTGATGACGTAGTACACAGATAAATGACGTTTTTATTCTCGCGCATCAAAATGTTCCTTGACAAAATGGTTTGTTTAATGGACTTAAGTTCTGTAATTGATCCAAAAAGTTTCCTTTTTATTATATTTTGCTAGTTGTAAAGGGGTATATAATAAATTTATCATTATAACAGTAACTTGATCCGAAGAGCCGTATCACGTCAAGTTGACAGGCGCGGATCATCAGATCAAACTCGACGCTTCGCGTCTCGTTTGATCTGATGATCCGCGCCTGTCAACTTGACGTGATACGGCTCTTCGGATCAAGTTACTGTTATAATAATATATATTTATTTCTAATGTCCAGAACTGTGTAACGTAAATGCCATGCATTTAAGAAGTATGTTAACTTTTTATAATTTAATTACACTTGCACACACGGTTCAAAAAAAATGTACAAGGAGTACATATACATGGACTTGAATATAACAAACTTATTAGCACTTCTAATGATGAAAATGAAAATAATTGATAATACACTTTTACAACTTCATTTCAATGATAAGTTATTCTTAAACTTTACTTCAAATGTCAGAAAGGCAAGCACAGCCAAACTACTGTTAATTGTCTCTGTTTTAATTACAATGTCAATCACAATAACTTTTTTCTTTAGATCCCTTCATTTCTTATTTGTACATAGTTACATGAAATCCATGCACGGCGCTACACCTGTCAATCAAAACTGTAAACTTCTGGTGCCACGGAAGCATTTCCCCTGTGGTGTAAAATATTCTTTAAGTCAATTCTAATTTTACGCTTTTATAGATACAGTGTAATATTTCGAAACAACGTTTTAATTAAGGCTGAAGATGCATGCTGTGAATTTATCAAACCTGCAGTCCTAATTGACGATCCGTTCTTACATGTATATTATAATTAATCAGAGAGTCCAGTATTTGTGACAAATTTTGATTGAGATTTCACTTTCCCTTTAGGATAAAACGATTCATTAAATAGATTATGCATATGAGATGGATAGCTGTACTACATATAAATGTATACTTTTCACTTTGTAACAAGAATCTGTCATTGACAATTAAAAGTGAAGAGTTTAGGTAAAAGACTTTGACAAATGACAAGTTATTCCTTCTTAGTCACTATATAGCTTAAAGCTATATGGTCGTGCCGAACCCCCCCCCCCCCCCCCCCCCGCAATTATGTTTTTATCTTTATTATTTTTTTTTTGCTTAGATATAAAAAAAATTTGATTGTTTGTGCCCCGTCCCAGAAAAAAATGAAATTGCGTTCTACAGGCTTAAGTCAGAACATGATTTTCATAATGATAATACATTTATCAAAATGTTTCTACCCCTACGATTCGTAGTTGTGGTTTCTAATACCACCACGTCGCCCGCGTGGCGCAGTGGTTTGAGTGTTTGCTCTAGAGTCGCGGAGTAAGGAGTTAATCTTTACGTCGTGGGTTCGACTCCCTCTGCGGGACGTGGAGACCGGTCCTTTGCATGAGACCGTATAAACCGAGGTCCCTTGTAGCAGTAGATGTTGGGACGAAAAAGATCCCTCACTGCTCAATGGCCTTGAGTGTCGAGTATAGGTCTGAATTTGCAGCCCTCCACCGGCAAGTGGTGGCGTTTCCATATGAGTGAAAAATCTCGAGAGGGACGTTAAACAACACACAAACAAACAAACTATTCCACTACGGGACGTGGAGACTGGTCCTTCGGATGAGACCGTACATGTATAAACCGAGGTCCCGTGTAGCAGTAGGTGCTGGGATGAAAAAAATCCCTCACTGCTCAATGGCCTTGAGTGTCGAATTTACAGCCCTCCACCAGCAAGTGGTGGTTTTTCCATATGAGTGAAAAATCTCAA